AGAAAGAGAGAGGATGTGACCCCTTCTTATTTTTTAATTATTAAAATAAAGGGATAATGACTTGAAAGGGTAACGAACTTTCGACTTTGATCACATTTAGTCATTAAACTTTTTTTCGTTATCTATTTGCCATTGAACTATTGAAACTGTTTACATTTTACCCTTATGACCGGCTGTTACCGGTCATAAGAGTAAAATGTGAACAGTTTCAATAGTTTAGTGGCAAATAGATAACGAAAAAAGTTTAGTGACTAAATGTGAACAAAATCGAAAGTTCGTTTCCCCCTAAAAAGTTCAATGGCTAAATGTGAACAAACTTCCTATTGTATTATGTTTTAGCAATGTAGCAACATTTGTTGATGAAGAAATCTATGAAATAAAAAAAACAAAATGTAACATCCGGATTTTCAGGTATCATAATTTAAGTAATTTTCTTTTGAGTTAAGAAGAGAAACTCGACGAGTTAACGCCTCAACTCGTCGAGTAAGGTCGCGACTGATGACTCGAATTAATGAATGGACTCGACAAGTTGGTGAGGCGACTCGACGAGTCCGCCCTCTTGGCAGAAACCCTAAATCTGTGGGCCCGAGCCATATTTAAAGGCACTTATGGCCTTTAATTGCGACTACCTTTCCCATAAGTGAGAACCCTAGCGAGCTTGAGTGTGTAAAGTGAGAGGAAGAGCTATCTTGAGCTTTTTGGTGTGATTTTGCAAGAAAGGAGAAGAGTTCTAGCAAGAGGGACCAAGGAAGGTTATTGTTCTGAGTTATTCAAGCAAGGAGCTTCATTATGAGGTACAAAAATGAACCCCTTTCCTTCCCTATTGTGTAGATTCCAGTTTGGGGTTAGGGCTTGAATCACTTCATCTTTGGGGTTTTGAATGCCTCAAACCCCTCTTGCAAGTTTGTGTTATAGATCTGGACCCTTCTAGGTCCAGACAACCGAGAATATAAAGCTTTAGTAGAGTAAACCTTAGGGTTTGAAGTTAGGAATCTGGACCCTTCTAGTTCTAGAGAGCTGAGAATATGAAGCTTTAGTAAAGTAAACCTTAGGGTTTGAAGTTAGGAAGCATTTATGAGATTTTTATGGTATATATAGTTACTTTCATCTTACACATAGATATGAAGTATTTTATATAAATTACGTGCTATGTGTGCATATTATTTGAATACTTGCTGTCTATGCTGGATGAACGATTTTATACATGTTTTAAAAGATTTAAACGGTATATGTATTTTATATCTACAAATATGTTGCGGATGAAACATGGGTAGATGAAATAGTTGGTGTGTGATGAAATAAAATGATGATAGATAGGTGATGATAATTAGGTAAATAGATGATGATGAATAGGTGATGTAGGATGAAAAGAGATACCATAACCTTAACCGGCAGTGTGACGATGTAGTTATCTACCAGAGTATAGATGACGACCATAGACTATTCTAGACAACCCAGTGGAAACACCAGCAGGCCCATAACTTGTAAGTGATGAATTACGACTTCAGGCGATGTTGTAACTACGTATTCATGCGATGATACTCTAACCCCTTACTATGAATTACGAGTTTAGACGATGTTGTAACTACGTATTCATGGGATGTCACAAATTCCGCATGCCAAACCAATGGTCATAATTCACATCGGTGATAATAGTTCATTTTTTTTTGTAGAACCAAAATCAGATTTGAACTTTTGATTTTTTATTTTGGAAAATGTCAAACCATTGGTTTTTTATTTCGGTTTCGGTATTTTTTTTAAATATATTTTCAGAGGGTTTTGTTTTTTGTTTCTTTTTATTATTTTTTTTATTTCTTAGATTTCTTCATTAACAAATGTTGCTACAATTTAACAAAAATAAATAATTTGCTAAAACATAATATATAAGGAAGTTTGTTCACATTTAATCATTGAACTTTTTAGAGGGAAACGAACTTTCGGTTTTGTTCATATTTAGTCACTAAACTTTTTTTCGTTATCTATTTGCCACTAAACTATTGAAACTGTTCACATTTTACCCTTATGACCGGTAATAGCCGGTCATAAGGGTAAAATGTGAATAGTTTTAGTAGTTCAATGGTAAATAGATAACGAAAAAAAGTTTAGTGACTAAATGTGAAAAAAATCGAAAGTTCGTTACCCTTTCAAGTCATTATCCCTAAAATAAATTGATAAGTATTAGATTTTAAAAAAATGAAATAAAAATGAAAAACAAATACACCAAGGATATTACACTCATTTTAATATATAGAGAAACAAATACGCAACAAAACTAGCTCAAAAAAACCACAAATCTAAAAAAATCAGTGTTTAAACAAAAACTCAGAAAAAATACAAATCATATAGACCATTTTTACAATTTTATAAATAAAAAACATACATCTAATTTACGAATATAGTTGTAATATATACATAGACCATTTTTACAATTTTATCAATAAAAAACATAGTTGTAATATATAGATTTGTAGTAAATAATGCCTTTTGATATAAAAAAGTTATCTCTTTTACCTACTAAACTTAAACATACAAAAAATAAAAAATATGTCCACAAAACACGGTCATATTTATTTGAATAAATACGTATACATAATCTTATACATAAATATTTGGGTTAATACATAATTTTTAGGTTTTTCGGATTTTTAATGAGAATGTTGTGACTCCATTGTTATAACATAAAAGACGTGTTCGGCACAAAACATTTGAGAGCTTTTAGCTTCTAGCGTTTAACAAAACACTATGTTTTGAACAAAAAATCTCGTTTGACACTACAAACTTCTGGCATTTAGTTTAAACAAAACGCTCCAAATTCAAATGCTACTTGATGTAGCGTTTAACAAAACACTACAAACTACAAGCTACCCGCTACCAGTTAATTTTGCTGAACAAACCCAAAGTATATATAAACAACACTTAGGAAGGAGGAGATCAAAATATAAAACATGAATAAGGAAAGTAAATAAATTATATCATTGACATTTTCTTTCTCATTTTCAAAATTTAAAAAGAATAAAAATAAAAATATATATATATTTCAAATGTCAGATGTATAAAAATATGAAAATTTATCAAGGGACCATTCTAATTCATATTGGAATTTGAAAAATCAAGGGTAAGGTATACCATTCGTCCCTCATGCATACGTCAGAAAGTGTGTTTAATCCTTATTTTCAAAAATTAATTCGGACCGTCCCTCATTTGTTTAAAACTTGCACCTTTCATCCCTCTGGACATAAAAGACTGTTTTTCTCGTATTTATTTATTTTTGATTTATTTATTAATTATTCATTACCAATCCATTAAAAATATTATTTATTAAATATGTGGACCATTTGTATTCAGACAATGTAACATTACTTCAGACTACCATCACCACTAGCCTCCGGTCACAACCACAACTAACCTCCGGTGACCGCCACTGCTACCTCTATTACCGAAGAAAACACATGCAATCCATGTTCGAATCCAAAAAAAATGCTAACCTAAAAATCCATTCAAGACATCAAAACTATCTAAAAAATCAAATCCAAAAACCCATTCACAACATCAAATTCACAAATCAATATTTACATAAACTAACACACATACATACATAGACAAAAAAAAACTACAAATATGGTTTATATCTTCGTATGAATATGAAGAAGAAACCCCGTACGGAAAAAAAAAACTTATGATGAAAATTCGATTTCTTATGATTTGAAGCCTAATCAGTCATATATTTGTTCGATTTCTTCTGAACAGTCAGATATGAGGTACAATCATGGGGAGAAAACGAAGGAGAAGGAGATAGGGGTTTGGTCAGAAACAACCAAGGCAACAACGAGATCTAGGGTTTAGCCACCGCAAGTTGGGTCCCAGAAATCACTTTTGTTCGTGGTTGCCAGATGATTTGGTGGATCGATCAGGGGCAGTCGGTAGTGGTCGTGAGGTCTCCTTTAGTCGATGTTGGAGTTGCAAAGAGGGTTGCTCTTATTCTTTTTTCCAATGAGATAGTTGTAGATCCGAAAATAACGATGGTTGATTTCAAGAAATTGCGTAGTTGAGTCTGTCGGTGGTTGAGTCCACATTTCCGACATGAATCGAGGAAGGGAAACGAGGTAGTGGTCAGTGGCGATGGTCAAGCAGGTTCTGTTGGTGGTTGTATCTCCGGTCACCAAATTTTGATTTTAAGGGAGGTAAGGGCGATATGAAGAGTATGAATGGAGAATTAGTGTATTTCTAGGTAAATGGGGGGTTTGGGTGATAAGTTTAATTGTTTATAAATAAATGATAAAATAAAGGATTAAAATTTATTTTTTGTTTTTCTTATAAAAACAACATATAACACTAAGGGCAATATAATCATTTTATGTTAAGGAAATGATGAATTGTGCGAATTTAAATTAATGAAGGATGAAACATGCAAGTTTAAAAAGTTAATTTTTGAAAATAAAAATTAAACACGTTTTGTGTCATATGCACAGGGACGATTTGTGTAATTTACCCAAAAATCAAATATTCAAATTTTAGATAATTACGTTTCAATTTTTATATTTTCAGATTTACGTATTTTTAAACACTTCATAACTATTTTATATAAAAATATTTGAGTCTAATTTTTTAATGCCTTGTCGCACACATGTAAAACTTGTGCTTTCTTTGAAGCTAACATTTGTCTATGATATTATATTCTCGATGTCTCCTAACATGTATGCAAATCTCTTTAACTTTCCTTCAAAGAGATGAATCACGCCCCCTTCCAATATTTATTTATTTATTTATGAATTTATGTCATATCATAACATATAGTAGGGTCATTATAGTACTGTATTCAAATAAGTAAATTCTAGAAGGACTTAACAGCTCGTAAAGAGAAAAACAATTGAATGGAAAACTTCCCATCATTTGATGTTCTTCATTTTACAAATCAACTTGTAGCAATGCTTTTTCAGGTAAAACTTGTCGAAACCATAATAATGTATAACTTTCCAAGCATGATACACATATATTTATAACAGCTGTTTTTTTATAAAAGAAAGTTGTCCTTGTGATCTTTTGCACTATAGATATAGCAACACAAGTCTAATTTTTGTGGGAGCTAAAGTCTAAAAGTATCAAACTTGAATATATGTCCCTTTTGAAGGGCCAAAAATTACTCAAGCCTAAACATCTGAGGTATCAATACATAAATCTGAGAGTTTCTTCCTACTTTCAACAATTTCATCAAAAAAATCATCAAGTTGCACAATCATATTCTCAATTCCATATTGCAACCCTCCAACACAACTCTTTAAATTTTCAACCCTCTCACTTATATCAAATCCGATTTCGCACCCTCTAACTCTATCCAACTTTGTTTGCAACTCATCCATGGCATATCCCGTATTGCGAAACTCATATAGTAAAATACCATTTTGCCCCTCTCCGCAATCCTTCACTCTCTCCATCAATCTTGTAGCCGAGACCATAAAACTTGTCTCCGAAACTGTATTATTTACATTATAACAAGTGGTATTCATGTTGGACAAAGAGGAAAAACTTGAATCATTGGAGCAATAAGCTAGACCATTAACCATGATCTTAAAAAGTAATGAGCTTATGTTTTTTAATGCATATAGTGCTCCTCTAAAGCCATTGAACCCATTAAACTTTGATTGGATTAATACACTTTCATCCAATTGCATCATTAACGGTTTAATTCTTGTCTCTATTAAGCTCTTGTTTTCTTCCTCCAATCTAATTCTCTCCCTTTGGCAACGGTTGATCGCTCTAGACACCTGAAAAATTCAAATCTAAGTGATTAATTCAAAATAGTGCTAACGAGGCCTATAGGAACACAAGTAGTCTAGAATTTGTACAACTTTACCTCACGTGCGAGTTGTGAATTTGAGGCAATGTTTTCAAGGATAGAAGGGATGTTCACCCCCATGGAACAATAGTTTTCCATGTTTGAAATGCATGACTTTAAGACATGACACACTTCCCAAAGGCGTGCACTCTCATCCATATACTCATCAAGCCATTTTTCGCCAGAAGGCAAGTGTAGTTTGTGAACCAAAAGAATCAGTTGATTATGGAAAGATTGGAGGGATGAGAAGACAAGTTGTAGGAAGTGGATGGAGATGAAGTTTTGAGAATGGAAAGAACTGTGAAGATCGTCAAGACTGTGAGTGAGAAAGTTGTAGAAGCTATTGACGGAATTTGTGGTGGTGGAGGAGGAGGAAGAAGAAGAATGATGCATCATGAGCTGGTGGAATTTAAAAGAAGGGAAGGTTTGTAATAAAAAGTGAGTAAAAGATGGGAGGTTTAAATATGATGAAAAGAGAAGGCTGTTGGGTTCAATTATAGGTGTTTCTAATGGAGTAGTGGGGATGATTAGAAATCTACCACTTTATTCTTTATTGTTGGAGAACTGTACATGAGAACTTTTGATATTTATTGACAATTAGAGATTCTTATTAATTATTATTACATCGCAAATATTATAATTTTCAGAAAAGAAAAATATAATCTTTGTTTATGCATTTGAAAGAAATTTGAAGATTTTTGTGTTTGAGTATTTTTTTTAACCGATAAATATAAATATATAATCTATTTCTAAACTACCATTTAATTCAACGTAGGATTTAAACCGTCAACTTCAAAGAAACCTTTTAATGTGTTTGATCATTTTTTTATTGTGATATATATATATATATATATATATATATATATATATATATATATATATATATATATATATATATATATATATATATATATATATATATATATATATATATATAATGACAAATATTATAAAAAAACATTTAGTTCGTACTTTTTCGATTTAAGTCATTTACCATCTTTGATTTACTAATAAGAAATTGATTTTTAGAGCTAGCCTGACTAGATTAGATTTGTTATTCTAGAAAAAAAAAATATAAATTTTATAAAAGCCATAGACACCTGAAGAATATTTTATGATTTAGCTATAAAATTTTAATAAAAAAATAAAATACCTTTAACCGGTCATAAAAGGTTTTTCAAGTTATACAAGCGATTTTTAACGTTTTAAAAAAATATTTGATTATTAATAAAATTTTGAATATGTATCTAAAGACATATGAAACATAATCATATAGAGAAATTGTTGCTTTCTTGGTATATTATTTCAACAAAGCAAATGGAAAAAGAACTCACAAGTAAATGGAAAGAGAGAAAATCTAGTGATAAATAAATTCCTTCGTCTAGTCCACATATGTCTAATCATTCTTTCATTTTTGACACAAACAAACATACATACACACCCAAATTTATTTAATTTGGTTTAATATTCTCTAACAAAATTATGAGTTTTAATAAGTAAATGGAAAGAGAATATATATATATATATATATATATATATATATATATATATATCAAATTTATTTAATTTTAGTTTAATATTCTTTAAGAAAATTATGAGTTTTAATAAGTATGAAGAAAAGACAAGATCAGTGATTGGTTAGATTAGCGTAAGACGCGCGAATAAGGACGTAAGTCGCGCTGTAGGACCATAATCATCGTCGGGACAATTCCTTTTTATTCATCATTATTAAAACAAGTAAGCTTTCTTATAAAATGCTAAAACAAAATTAATTAAATATGATTAAGTTTTCAGACAAACTATCCAAAAAATTGATTTTTGGTAGAAATATCATTGAAGAACAAGATTATGATGATAATCAAATATATTCTATTGTAGATTTGCTAATAACATAGAGCAAAATTTAAATAATTGGACAATACCTAAGACTAATGTTAATATAATATATAGAATATGAACTTCTGATTATTTTTAAAGTTACTCTATTAAAATGACAGAACAAACAGTGTTTATTCGTCAAAACCACCAAAATTTACATTAATTATTATCACGATCTATTTTAGATCACTGAACAAAATATAAATTTTTACATGTCGGTTTAGTCTAAATTGCTGTCAAACCTCTATTTAGACTCGGCATAGATGCTCCCGTTCTCCTTATTTTAAGAGACAAAAGACATAAAGATTTTCAAATTTGCATTTTAAGTATGGCCGAAACAAATATTGTTAATGGACCAATTTATTTCAATTGTTATCCAAAATTTTCTATAGGATTATTTGATAAAAATATTTTAGACACCTTAGTATTAACTATAAAAAAAATTTAGAATTAAAAAATAATACAAAACAGTTAGTAATAATTTATCGTGTTTGTTATAAAACCATGACAACTATTCTTGAACCAAAAACTTGTTTATCAAATTATTTTTGAAGCAAATACTAATCATACCAAAGTCCACACATCAAAAAGATTAAAATAACCAGATATTACTCAATCATGCAATTGGAATTTACAAAATGTCATTGATCCAAAAGCTTTAGACTATTCAAAAACAAATTTCTAATATTATAGAACATAATGATAGTTCTGTTGATATTAAATTTTCTTCTATAAATATCTCATTTAGGTTTTCTACTTGTTCTACTCTAGAAGTTGGCACTTCAAAAACTTCATTTTCAAAATAAAGATCTTTAAGAATAAAAATTGTTGATTATACTAATTCTATTCCCAAACCTTTATATCAAGATGATCAAAATAGTGAAAATGGTTTCCCTAATCCTACTAAATCAGATTTTATAGATGAAATTCAAAAATCTAAACAACAAATATGAGTTTCAAAGTACAAATTATATTGGAAAATAAACTCTAATATGTGCAAAATATTCAAAATATAGAAACAACTAGAGCTAATGAAAGTTACAGTTTACACAAAACATCGCAATATACCCATAAGTATAATAAACAAATAGAAAAGATTTCTCGATTAACAATAGGGATCAAGAAATACAAATAGTCACAAAGTCGTAATTTAGAATCAATAAAATTTATTTCTTCAATCTTAAGCAAGTCAACTTGCTAATATGGATTTTTCTAAACATGAATATGTAACACCTGGAATTTAGAAGGTTAATTAAGGAAATAAAACCTTATTTCTAAAGGTCAACTGGTCGAGTTTAAGGCATAAACTCGACGTGTTGGGAATATGTGGCACGCGCGTTTTGAAGATCAACTTGATGAGTTGGAGAGGTCCAACTCGACGAGTCGGCACTAGAAGAGAAAATCCTAATTTTTTGAGTATTGCACCCTATTTAAAGGACTTAACTTCTAGGGCTGACCTCCTTACCAGCCTCCCTTGTCCAGAAGAAACCTTATATCGTTTTTCCACTCGTTCCTTGAGTTTTGTGAGTTTTAAAGTGATTGTTGGAGATCTTTGAAGGAAACATTGAAGATAGAAGCATTAAGCTTGGAGGAGTAATCTTGGATCCAAAAACCCTACATCAAAGGTTACATCTTGGAGGTATAAGGTCATAACCTTGACATATAGCTTATCAGATCTCACCTATTGTAGTTTTGGCTTGGTTTTGGGTCTTTAACCGAGTTATCTAAGAAGAAGAGGATTCCACGGGTTGTTAGGGAAGATCTGACCCCTAAATGACCCCGTGAAGCTTAAAGTTGCAAGCTCACTATGTCCCATGCTTGCCATATGTTCATTATCAAGCCTAAAATGGACCTTAGAAAGCGTTTCAAGCATGCATGGATGTAAAGTTAGAAAATTTACATGATTTTCCACCCTCAGACATCAGATCTGTGTTTTTGGGACGTTGAAATGAGAGTTTAAAGGTTTAATGGGTTAAGACCTTCCTTAAAGGACTTAGCGTTTGAGTTTGTAGCCACATGGATGATCCTTGGGAGTAAAGTTGGAAAGTTTATCCTCCTAGACATCTCTATAGATGGGGATCTTAAGTTTGGAGCCTTGGAATTCAAGATAAAGAGCTTAATGCATTAAGTGGGTTGACAGATCGAAGAACTCGACGAGTTCATGGGTGAACTCAGCGAGTTGGGTTGGGTTACCCCGAGTCTGTTGAATCGCAGAGGAGCTCGACGAGTTGGATCGCAAAATCACGATTCTGACTTGGGAGTGGACTCGATGAGTTGAAGGGCCAACTCGGTGAGTTGGGTCGCTTGGACCGTTGACTTTGACCTTTGACCGATGCGTTTGACCGAATTTATCCTAGTGGGTGTGGGAGTAACCTGGAGTGTATTGGAGGAGAAGATGGACTTAGGATAAGACCCATATGGGATTGGGCCCAATTTGGAAAATTGGGCCATTGGCGGGCCTTTATGGATCTTATAGTTTTGGGCCTTTTGGGTTTAGGCTTGGGCCTTGGTTTTGAATCTTGTTGGACTAAGGATTATTTTCCCCAAGTATAGATTATGGATCATGGTTTGGGACCCAATTGCTAATTAGGTGATATTTGGTATTGATAGCTCGAGGGGTTGTCAAGGTAACAACTAAGGATTTCTTGCAGTCAGCTTCAACATTCGAGGTGAGTCTTAGTGTTGTTTGTATGAGTTGAAAGCACCAATGCCAACCCATTTTGTTTATGTATTGTAGGAAGACCCAGGAGTTAGCCCTAGGCATTATGTACGAAAGACCACGAGGTGGATCCTGGCACACTGTATGCTAATTTGCTAAGTAGAGTAGTATGTATGCTAGTTGTCTTTTTGATGCTTGAATGGAAGACCAGGAGGTGACTCTTGGCACTTTTCTATAAGACCTAGGGGTGGCCCCCATCTTGGCAAGAAAGACCACGAGGTGGCTTGTGGCATAATGGTAAGACTATGTGTGGCACATAGCACCTTTATTGATTATGATATATGAATGATATGTATGGCTCAAGGTTATGTATGGCATGTATGGATCAATTAATATGTATGGTATGTGGTATTTGGAGAACTAACTTAGCTTCATGCTTACGGTTTTCAGTTTTGTTTTAGGTACCTCTAGTTTTCAAATAAAGTAGCTTGGGACGATTACAGCGCATACACCAATGTTTTCCTTAATATGTGAATTCTGGGAATGAACTCTGATAAATGTTTTATTTGAAATGCTTTTCGATGTGTGAACAAAGTTACAAATGAGTTTTAGTTATATTAAAATGAAAATTTTACCCTGAAAATTTGGGATGTTTCATGTTGGTATTAGATCCTTGGTTAGAGGGATTTAGACACACATTCGGGGGTGTCTGGACTCAAATCGAGGGTTTGAGAGATTTTTACTAGAAAAATAATTTTCTAAAATTAAGATTAAGGGTTTTTATAAAGAAAAAGGAGTGTAATGCGTGCAATCGGCCGGGCTCAAATAAGTGGTTCCCAAAATACCAATACATGTTTGTTGTGTGATATGATATGATTATGTGATTCGCATGCTAGATTAGAGATAAGGATCTAGGAGAGATGCCTTTGTATGCTTATATGAGCTTGGATATTTGCATGCTAGAAC